AACAACAGAAAGGGAAAGTCTTGTTTGTTACAGAAATCTAACCTGCAACCTGATTGCTGTGCCGTTAAGTAAAGTGAAAGCTTTCAATTTATTTTCGCGTCGGTGCATTTGAATGATTTAAAGTTTTTCGTTTGCAAATCTGGCAACGCCAAAAGTTTCTAAATTCAAATAGCTAGTTTATTTTTCAAACCACTGATAAAAAAGAAGACAGAAAATTTGGTGCAAAACTCTGTAATCGAACAAGTGATAAAAACACGCTCTTGAGGACACTCTTACACATAATACAAACACAATGTGACAGAAAGTAATAAAATGAGAACGTACCAAACTTCACTAGAGTGCTTAGGTTTGCGTCGAACTATGCCACTTATCTATTTGCTAGAACAACGAATATCCTTTAAATCCAAGTGAATATGTACCATAACAATATTCACAATTCAAAAATCCCTAACGAAAATGTTTGTTTTCAACGTTTCACTTAGATTTGACGGAAACGCACACAAGACAACACTTACTTAGAATAGTATATGTAGCAATATGACAGCATGTGATCCGTTGCATTCAATATGAAATTATGTTCATGCATGGAATTTTGCAAACCCGAACAAAATACATTCGGCAGCTATCAAAAGCAAACGAATTTTTGAAATAGTAGTAAGCAGAAATGCAATAAAATTTCAATTTATACGAAAATGTATTTGAGAGAATACAGACGCATATCTTATCTTTTGAAGATGTCATCAGCTCAAGTGAGATTTCAGAGAATGAAAAAAGAACGAGTCGGAGTTTGTTGAGTTCGATGTGTAGTATCATTGTGTTTATAGCATATAAGCAAACAAAATAATTTCCAAAGTCTGGAATTTTGAAGATGCCGACAGTGCAAGTTTCTCTCTCTTAGACATATCTTGTTCTCAACTGCAAAATGAAGTAGAAAATCAAATAAAGAGTATAACAAGTTTTGCATGCAATAATGTGTATGATATGGACGGAAAATCAATGCGATGAAAAATCAAAATATGTCGAATTTTATCGAAACTTCCATATTTTGTGAACGAAAAAAATGTAATGATGCCGAAAGAAGAACATTTCTTGAAATCAATTCATTTTCAAAACAGATATTGCAAAAATAGTTGAAATGGAATGTAATGCAGTGTGTATGCTTTTGAAGTTTGTTATCTTCTAACCGAGACATTCTTTCAGACTAATTGATGAAATTTCTTGTGGCGCCACAAGAACCAAATCAAAACTAAATAAGATTTTTGCTCCTTCAACCCACATTTTTCTACTCATTTCCCTCAAGTGCAATTATTTATCCATATGAATATTTTCCCGTCACTTTTGCTATCAAGTCATCAGATGTTGAGCACACATGCATTATACACATTTATGCAAGATAATAGTAAGAAAAACATGCCTGCAGTGTAAATAATTGGATGAACTGTATAAAAGCATAGTATCTGACGAACGCATTGTAAGAGCAAATTTGCATGTTTTGATCGCTTCGATGCATGCATTTTTGTAGTGTGTGTACTTTTTTTTGTCATTCAACAACGTTCGACTTTGTCGATAAATTGATTGAATCTTTATCGCTTGAATGTTTTTTCAGCTGCTGTTGAACCATTTGCATTTTCTACACTCGACAATTATTTGCATCGTCTTCGGTGCACAATATGGAAATTCTTAAAAAGCGAAAGCATCACATAATGATTTTCTGGCTCCAAAGACGATGCAGAGATTTTTTTGCCGCTGTTCACTTACAGATTTACAAAAACATCCATGTCGATTTTATGCATGGGCTGAATGTAATTTGCATTTATCGCAAGCTTCAATCCGCCGCATTAAAAGAAGACAACAAATGACAACAGCCAAGCGGCAACAGAGACACAAAGTAGTATAAAAAAATCTTGGTCATATACACATTCCAAAGAGATATATGCAGAAAATCAAGCGTGCGTTTTTGCAGTCGCAATAGTTGACATTATCTTTTGCATATTTGCAGCAATGGTCTCGGTCGAATGAGTACGCCATCAATGCCAATGAGGAAAAGTGAAACGGCGTCGACAATTCCCACAGACTCTGCTATGTATGATAATCAAGGCAGTGATTTATACAATAATATTTTCCTTTATCACGTCTCATTGTGCTAAGCGCCAGCATTTTCGTTTATATTCTCTTCTATTTCATTCAGTCGCTCTCTGACATTGCTGCCGTTGCTCTAGTAAATAGCCCAATGGTAGAGTAAGAAAATATTAAGTACATTTATTCATTTGCTCATGTGATTTATGCTGATTATTTAAATTTCCTGTACGCTAATCTATGGCATATTACAATAGAATTGCGAATAATGCTCTTTTTATTGTCGTCGTTTCCGGAAAAGTGGTTCGGTTGGCAGACTATCTACCATAAGCCCGTGAATATTGTATTTGGCACGACGAAATATTTTTTCTCCTCACAAACATCCGCAATTGAATAGATTCTCTTCTATTGCGATAAAAAAGGAACGAAAAAATACAACCACCCAATTTCATACAGCACAAACTAATTCGTCCCGCCAAAACGATTAACGATAAAATGATATCCAAACGACGAATATTAACTTTCAATTTGTATAATTTATTTATGTTTAAACGTACGACTTTGCTGAAGTTCTTAATTCTTTTCGGTTTGTATGACGTCGTCATCACCATCATTTATTTACTTGTTTGCATGCTTCTACTGTCCCTTTCCTTCTAACAGAAAATTCCCGCGTAATTGATGAAAAAGTTTACGTCTCCGGCGTTTTTCCGTTGGAAACATTTCTTTTTGGGGTAGCTTAACTTTTATCTTTTCGAAACGATAAATGTACGTCAAACAAAGTTTCAAATCCAGTGTGACATTTAGCATCGAAAGGATGAGAAATGAAAGCGATTGTGATTCTTTTACGAAGCGGAAACTTTTTTCACTCTACTTCTCCACAATATTGAAAACGATTATGTATTTTGTGTATGTTTAGTTTGAGTTGAAAGTTGCTTTAGTTTGTGCGAATCCTTGCGGTGAAAAATAGCACATATTTTGTGCAACTTCATCAATACAAAAATATGTGCTAATAATTAATATGTAAAAAACAACTTAACCCCTGAATTTGAGTCACATGTGGGTTTTTTTATAAATCGTTACCGTGAAAATAAGATAAAACAACAAATCAACAAATATAAAAATTATTGCAAAGAATAAGAGTTTTCATTTTACCACAACGGTTCATGTGTTATTTATACATATAACGTGTTTGTTGTCAATGCTAAGACCGTTACTCCTTTTTTATTTTCCTGTGTCGTTGGCCGAACGTAGATCAAAGAAACTTGATAAATTTAATATAAAGAGCGATAACTGTTCACAAGTTCTTAGCTTGTGTTACTTCGTTGTTCGCATCATTCACTCCTTTTTCCGTGCAATGAAAATTCAGTAAAGTCGCGTTGTTCGTGCAAACCTTTGACATTTATAAAATGATTTACAGATACATAAATTGATGGGAAGATGCATAATACGCGACACAAAAGCACTTTCTACTACGTTATCACAAAGAAGAGAACCTTTGATTTGTTCCGTTACTGAAAACATTAGGTAAACGATAGATTTTAAGTCAATTCAATGGAAGGTAAAAGGAATTGTAAAAAAATCAACATTGTTATCCATTGTGAATAGCAAACCAGAAAAAGATAAATAGACAGTGTTACAGATGACATCAGCATTATCAGATGTACTTATTCTTCGTTCGGTTAGAATGGCAAATTCTTTTAAAAAAATATTTTAAGCCGTTTGTTGCAGTGTTTGTCGCATTTATTGATTTGAATCCCTTTTCACTACAGCATCCAAGTTTATTATCGAATGGATCTGTTTTGTTCGTCTATACTAACTAAAGCACCCCAAAAAACCTGTTCGCATCAATTTGGAAACTTTTTAGAAAATAGATATTGATTTGATGAATAAACCTTCGTCATAGAACGCAAGAACGTGCAAGCATGAACACAGTTTTGTTGTCGATGGTTGGTGATCTTTCACATATTCCGTCAATTTTGATTATTATCAATCCATCTGTGGGTTCATCAATTCGCTTTTAACCTTTGACTTTTATGTCCGACGCCAAAATGATTGAGTTGACTGAAATTCACCTATTCAAGGAATATAAGTAAGGAATTGGCTTTTGTCTGTGTTTATCTTAATGTTATGTATTTAATCTTTATTGCGTGTTTTAATTTAATTTTCTAGTTGCATAAGTAATCAGAAAACTTGAGCTCAAACTTCATCGATTAACCCAATTACATCGTGTTCTCTGCGCTCCTCTTGTATGTCTATTTACATTTAGCTGATCCTACTTTTTTGTGAAGTATGATTCGCTCTGTATTTTTCGACTGATTTGTCGTCATCAAAGTTTTGTGTTTGCTTCATTTTCGTTGTGTATATGTGCCATATTTTTAAGTGTTTGATTTATAGCTGCGACAATTTGGCACAGCCAAGCTATTTTCTATTATGTTTTTTAGTGCCAGAATCAGTTCAATATTCTGCGAGAATAATAAAGTCAAAAGACCGTCTCCTTTAATTTATAGAATGAAAATTAATTTGGGATTGTTTGTGTAAACAACATTTTAACCGTATTGTCAAGCATAAAAAGCTTCAACATTATTCATATCTCGTAAAATCATACAACAAACTTGCACGATTCATCGATTTTCCATTTCGGTTCGCTCAACGAGGCAACAATGTTGAATACTACCGGGTTTACCCATTAATGAGATATAATTAATTTTATTTCAAGTCTGTGACTTTGGCTCTTATGTTTTTACGATATTTATTTTTAATTTTTCTAGAGAATCTACAATTAAAATTAGATTGGAATCCTTCAGATCGATGGACACAAAATCAAATGTATAATTGCACATAAGACAATCAATTATTTTTTTTAGTTATTCTATTGATTTCATTTAACTTTCTCAACTAACTCAATGTCTCTTCTCTTTTCATAGAATTTTCAATAAGAGACGAGTTTTTGGTCAAAATTTTGAGTATCATCCGTCTGAAGTGGTAAGTATAAATTTAAATTCATTATTAGTTTCAATATTATATATTCACAATCTTGAAATTGCGATATGTAAATAAAACAGCGTGGAGAATCATCAACTTAAGCAGGTTTTATGAAAATATGAACAATTATGTAGGTCACAAAGCGACTCATCAAATGATGAATACGATAGTAGAATTTTGTGGAATTCTCTATCTTTGGGGCTTTCTCCCTACTGTAGCAACTTGATTTAACTTGAATATAAACTCCATAAAGGTTCCAATTCAATTGAAATATTATTCAAACAATGCTTGTTATAATTTAAGGTCACATTTCGATCTAACTACTGTCAGTGAACCAAACATTGTTGCGATAAAATTCACTTTGAATTATTTGCGCATTTATTCAGTGCAAACATAAATATCGAAGATATTTTCAATTCCATTAGACGATTTATGTTCGGTAATTTGCATAATCATCTTCATTACTCAAGTATAAAACTGATCGCCTACATGAAAATGAAGTTCCATTATATGTTTGTTGTGTGCAGCTGCGGGACTAGAGAGCCACCCGCCTACACGAAGTATGTAAACAAATCGAACGAATTTATTAAAATACTTGTAGTACCAATTTATTGGCACGGAACTCTTATCGGCACGCTTCATATCTTTGGATGCGTACCACCTGTTTTCCGCTTGCAAACACCAGAATAGTTTGAAAACTCTGCTTTTGTCCGGACGAAAGTAAATTTAAATCCATGTATACACGAAAATATGTGCACGCATTTGAATAATGAAATGAATTGTTTTCCTTTTTCCTTATGTGTATATTAAAATCGGTAGGAGAAAAATCAAATTGATCGATCGAATCAGTCCTTAGGATAAATTTGATAAATATGGAAATAATTTTGTGCTTGAGTCCTTGTGTAGATTATATGGAATACATACCTGGAAAATGTTCAGAGAATATATTTATCGTCACGAGAGAGATAACAATGGTTATTATTGTTATTATTGCTGTTTCAAGATATGCAATTTATCTTAGTATGTAAACGTGACCACGATTCGATAAAGCAAATTTTGCACAAAATAGATTTTCGTGGACTCGATTGCTCATACTCGAAGCATATATAAACAATCCCGATGTATACTTATGTATAATACTTCATAGTTCTCTTGGTAATCAATATGGTTTCCGTTCAGAGCTTAAATAAAATCCACGAAAAATGGTTCCACTTCATATTTGTTCACTTGTAACCATAAATCAATGGAACACGCATACACCTATACACGGCAACATAACAAAAAGGAATATGTGAAGAAGGCGTTCACGTTAATATATTCACATAACTTCGATGTGTGCGTAGACCACAATTTAAATCAAATAATAAATCATGTTACACATTCAAGTCATTCCATTTGAATTGAACAAATAGCTTAAAAGCTTCCTGAATGAGATTTATTTTTCATGATTGACTTTTGTAAATTCCTATAATTGTGCGGGACTTTTCAGTATTGTTTGATTCAAAATGATAAAGCATTTACATACATCACAATGTATTTGATGAAATGATGTCAATTTCCGTGGAAAAATAAAATTCCTTGTTGAATTTTATAAATGAAAATTGATTCATTTATAGCGGTCAATGATCAAAAACCTACCTTTCCAATTTGTATTCTTTTTAAATGCACAAACCGATTTTGGTCTATTAAAAAAATTTCAATCGAACATTAATCATCGAACATTTTCATACATGGAATTTATTGATGGATATTTAAAATGTTTGTATAGCTGCCTATTGGCAACTGTAATTGCACTAGTTACTATATTAATTCAAAAACTGATACTTTAAACATGATACAACTTTATTTTATGCGTTTTAGTGAAATGTGTGTAATCGATTTTAGTCCATTATCAAACGTTTAAATGCAACTATTAATTTTCAAACGAAATGTAGCCGCATTCATTATATTGAATGCAAATCATGAAGATAAATGAATAACATTACAAATGTGTGTGTTGAATTGAAAATGTGCAATCAATTTTAATGGACTGGCTGAAAAAAGAGCAGACAAAATATACATTAATTTGTTTGCTGAAGAAATCATCTTTTTGAGTGGTATACTCAATGATTCACCCAACTTGAGCAATAATTTTCAATATGTTTTCGTTTTATTTTCCATCGATATGGAAATGTATATTATATACAGTATGTACACTATGATAATATGTCTGTGAAGTACCGGCATTTTATCTTCGATAAAGAGTTGAACTCAAAAACTGGTATTAACAACTTTTTGCATCACTCATCATGCACTGTTTCATATGCTTGATGGGTAGAGAGTACTTGTTTACATAATACATAAAAAACTCATGTGTGCATAAAAGAATCAAACGAGAGATTGTATATGTGTTGATTCGCGCGAAGAAGGAAGCAAGGGTGGTATGAAGCTGTTGATGAAAAGTCAATTTGATTTTTTTTTCATCGAAATAGCGCAAACTTGCTGTTTTAATTGGTTTGATTCATTTAAAAAGTGGAGAAGCTGTTGCAGTAAAAAATGGTTTTTTTGTTAATTGGATGCAATTTTTCATGAATAAAATTAAATTGCAATTTCTCATAAAACATTCGAGATTGTACATTTTTCGTATGGAGGTGTCATGAATATTCATGTAAATAATAAACGAGCCCTTGAAGCGAAAAGAAAGACGAAAAATTGAAAAATCAGCCAAAATATTTGTGCAGATGTCGAATTTTGCATCACAACTAGACTCTAGATGTATGGAGAATGTTCATTATAGTTAAGCGAATCCTTTCACATTAAATAACCATACGATTCACATGGATGTTGCTTATTTGATATAATCGCGCCATGATTTACATGAACGTTCCACTTCAAACTACTTAATGGAAATGTGACTGTGTGAGATAGTGGCAGGAGAGGTGATACTTCAATCATGTTTGCTACCTTTATATTCGTGAACTTGCAATTAATGAAAATGAATGCCAACACATACTCGCTTAATTAAGATTGGACAATGAGACGAGAGCGGCAACAAGCGATTTTAGTACAAAAAACGAATATACTATATGGGTGATTTTATATTGCATGCCAGAAGATTTATTATGTTGCCGTGGCCATTGCGTGTCTGTAATCGTTGATATGTACTACCACCAAGACAGACGTACAAAATATGTTCTTTCTTGTATAAAATAAAACACCCCGGACTTTCATATAATAAGTTTTTGAAATCTAATTGGGTTTTGTTTGCGTGAATATATGCCATACTTGAAATGCTTGATGTTGGTATTCTTGTTTCTCGTTGCGATACTGTTGCGCACAATGTTTGTGGAACTCATGACAACATACTATCAATTTAATTAGCCGGTAATGTTAAGCTAATTGAAATTAACGTTTCTTTTATACTAACTCCAAACAAAATTTGGTTTTACTTTCTATATATTCTCCGATTGACCAAAGTATACTATACCGTTTCATGTGATTACCATTATTTCGATTATTCTTTTGTATTCGTCTCCTTTGGGATACGTTTCTATTTTTTTTGGGGGGGAGGTCTGGTGACACAATAAACTAAAATACATAAAAATAGTGATGTGTGTTCAATGTTCATATGTTGCATCTCTCGGGACACGTCGCAACAATGGGGAGTTCAATTAAACAATATGCTTTTAAAATTTTCTATCGTCGAAAGTTTAATTAATCATTAGTTGAAAGAACATAAAAATAAGCGAAACTATTCCAAAAGTCATATAGAGGGCACCAGATTAATCTCTGTATCCGATGTCACAAATTTTAACTTAAACGTGGGAGCACTATTCTTAATACATGTAAGCAATTGTAGTCCATCGCTACGATGACACAGGTGTAATCGTGTAGTATGTGTGTGTATAAAATCTAAATTTTATTCAGCCAGACATTCCAAAATGTCTGCCTCGGTTGCTAATTCGAAATCATGGCACCGACCTGAATTTTATTATTTTTATTGTAGTCATCCGACGCAAATTTGGCGAATAAATTTCACAGAAAATTGAATAAAGCCCAAAGATTTTCAACTTTCTTTGCTTTATTCCACTTGTCATTCGAACGATATTATATTCAAAACAACTTCTTTTTTTATGCACAAGCCAAGCCAATAGAATTAGAAAAAGAAATCGTTTGGAATCGCATCAACATCAAGCCGAAAAGCATAAATGTGATGGTGAAAATGTTTCTTTCACTCTCTTTTAGCAGACATACTGGTAAATATTTGGAATTTTTCTACGTACAAAGTGCCATTCGTTTGTCGTTAAATGTTCGCTTTATTTTGTTATTATTTTGCTTGTTAGTTGACAATGTGCGCTGTCATCGTTTTCGTCGCCAGAAAATGTGTTGCACTTTCAGACTAATCTCTATCAGATGATATTATAATTAGCTTGTCATTTTTGTCATAAAATAAATGTTGTCGCTTCAACCATTCGAGAAATAATAATGGAAAAATCTAATGGGCAGAAAGAGAGAAAACGAGAAAATGCGATACTGGTGTCTATTGCTCATTGCCGTTTTGGCACACATACATAATGAATTTTCACTTAAAATAAAAATAATCTGAAATTACCGCAATCCATTCATATTTATATTTCATATTAATAGTACTTTGTATATACAAAGCACTTCAAATAAATTAAAATGAAAAGAGATACAAAAAAATTGAGCAAACACGTCCATCGAAATAGAGTGTTATCCAACATGCAAAAAGCTATTGAACCAACGATATTCACCGAACAAACAATTTCATTTCGGACAAACAATTGTACATCGTTTGAATATTAAAAACTCTCTCATTTCATTCCATTAAGTTTTCGTTTCATTTTTTGTTCTCTCTTTCTCTTCCGTTGTCAGATTTTCTTCAGCAACTTGTTTGCAGTTCCTGTGAGTTCGATCCAAAAACGTTTGCCAACGATATTTTTTACATGCAGTGAACATTAGCGAAAATACATCAATTTGTTTTCTATACTTTTGTTGAA